AAAAAAAGAGGTCCAAACTCAAAATAAGGAGGAATCTCCTAGAGCAACAAAGCAGTGGAGCAACCTTGCTACTGAAGTTGTGGTGGTCCATCAAGAACTGGACAGGATGGTCTGAGGGTTCCTTCCCTGGACAGGGGTTGGACTAGAAGACCTCTAAGGCCTCCCAGCCCTGGGAGTCTAACCTTCTGAATCCAGAAGGAAGAGCCTCTCCAGCTGCCCATTCCAACGTCATCACCACTCACCGGTAGAGATGGTTGATCAGCGCCTTCAGGGTGGCTTTGTTGACAACTGGGAGGCTGTTGAGAAGCCTACGGTAACGGCTGATCCTTTCGGTGGAGTCCTCCACAGCTGTGAAGAGGAGCACAAGGCAGGGAACAAGGGACAGTCATGAACATCATCATCATCATCCTCATTTAATGACTCCGTAATCCCTCGCGGGGTGGAGTCTGGGCCATTGAATGGAGCTAGCAGAGTGTTTTACTGGCCAGATGACTTTCCTGTCACCAGAGCGGAGTTTTGTTCAGCCAGATATATTCTCATTGTGCCCAGAGAGAGAAATAACTGCCTCTACCTAGGATCGAACCCACTGCCTCCTGATTGTGAGGCGAGAGCTCCACCTCCAGGCCACCGCAGCACTCAAGGCCCAACATTTCCGTTGCTAAACAAGACAGTTAGAAGAATTTCACTGTTTTTTACGGATTTTTTTTTTGCCACAGCTGTCAAGGGAATCACTGCAGTTGTTGTGAGTAACATGGTTGTTAAGTGAATCTGGCTTCCTCATTGACCCCAAAAGGGGATCACATGACTGCCACCGTCGTAAGTACATGCCAGCTGCCAAACATTTGAATTTTGATCACGCAAACTGTGGAGACGCTGCAACCATCATGAGGATGAAAAAGGGGAGCAAGTCACTTTTTTCTGTGACGTGGCAACTTTCAACGGTCACTAAATGAACTGCCGTAAGCCAAGGACTGCCTGCATCTCATTTTTTTTTTCTTGAAAAGCCTGCCTTTTCCAGCTTTATGGGACATTTCAGGTAATCCTTGACTTACAACCACCGAACGTCTGTTGCTAAGGAAGGCAGTCGCTAAGGGAGTCATGGCAGATTTTGTATCGCCGTTGTCAAGCGAATCGCTGCAAGTGAATAAGGAACTGCTGCCATCAAATCTGGCTCCCTCCACGGTTGTTGGAAGCCGGCTGGGAAGGCCGCAAACGGCGCTCATGTAACCCCGAGGACATGGCCGCCGTTGTAAATACAGGCTGGTTGCCAAGAGCCTCGATTCTGATCCCATGACCCTGGGAATGCTGCAACGTGCCGGAGCGTTCACGGCGTGACTATTATTATGAGAAAACCCAGGAACAAAACACAGCACACATGCGATACCAGACACCAGAAGAGAGAGGACATGGCCTCGAATGGCTGCCTTTATATAAACACCTCTTAAAGGGATAGAACCCATCCCCAGTCTTAAAGGGAAACACCCATGTTATGCTGAGTCTTTCTTATTGCATCACCCTATATTGCATCAGCTTCATTGCTGGTCGGCTCTTCAATCCCAAGACTTTAACACAACGGTCGTAAGACTGGTTGTAAGTCTACGTTCTTCCATGCCACTGTAACTTTGAACGAACAGAGGTAAGTCAAGGGCTACACACCTGCAGCGTCCCGCTTACCGGGTATTTTGAGCCAGGCCTGGGCAGAGTCTTGGGTGAAGAGCCCCTCCTGCAGGTCCCGGAAGAACCTCTTCAGGGTGTTGGCCACATCGTCCACCTGGTAGTCCTCCTCCTTCAGCCGGACCTTGCGGGCATCTCTGCGGAGGGTTTCCAGCAGGCTGGTGATCTTGGAGTTCTGACCGCTCTTCCGGTAAATGCCCTCCGAGGTCAGTCCTGCGGGGGGGATGGAGGAGGAGATGGAGGTCTTGCAAAAGGGTTTTCCATCAACCCATTACAACATTGGGTCTGGTCAAGTGATGAACCACTTTTTGACGGGCACAGCTTACAACCATAACTACTACAGGTTGTAACTCAAGGGTTCCCTGCGTCAAATTCTTCTGGTTTGAAATTATTCCTTAGATTTCTAATTATTATTTTTTTGACACTTCTACTTTTTATTGCAAGGTAAAGTTGGACAGAGTTGCTTTGGATAGCAAGGGAGGATGGAAGGGAGGGAGGGAAAGAAAGAAAAGAAAAGGAAAGAAAAGGAAAGAAAGAGAGAGAGAGAGAAGAGAAAGCAGAGAGAAAGAGAGAGAGAAAGTGGGAGAGGAAAAGATAGGAGAAGGAAGGAAGAACAAAAATAAGAATAAGAGACAAAGAGAGAGAGAGGAAGAGGAAGAGGGGAAGAAGAGAGAAGAGGAGGGAAGGTAAGAAGGAAGAAAACAAGAGAGTAAGAGACAAAGAAAGAGAGAGAGAGGCAGAGGGGAAGAGAGAAGGGGAAGGATGGTAGGTAGGTAGGAAGGATGGATAGATTGATTGATGGATGGAAATAAGAGAGTAAGAGACAAAGAGAAAGACAGAGGAAGGGGAAGAGGGGAAGCGAGAAGGGGAAGGAAGGGAGGAAAGAAATAAGTGTAAGAGAGAGACC